CGCCCGCCACGACTCCCAAACGAACCTCCACCTCCAGCACGTCCGAAGGCGTCTGGCGAGACCACGCTCACCAACAGCGCAGCCAGGAGCGCAATTACAGCAGGTTTTTTCATCACTCGCTCCATTTATTCACCCGCGACCATCAGGTCGGCGATGCGTAGCGTCGGCGCATTGATACTGCGCCGAAATAAGAGGTCGTTGGCCGCAAACATGTTTTTAAACATGTCGCTTAATTGACCTGCAACGGTCAAACCGGCAACGGGTTCAGCAATCTGGCCGTTCCTTATCATAAAACCGGACGCCCCACGACTGTAATCGCCGGTCAACATATTGATTGTCGATCCGATCATTTCAGTAATGTATACGCCCTCCTTGATATCGGAGATCAGTTCTTCTGGAGTGTGTTTGCCGCCATCGAGGTAAAGATTGCTGCTTGAGGGTGATGGCGTGCCACCGGGCGCGCGTCGCGCGCAGCCATTATTGGTCAGGCCCAGCTGGTTGGCGCTTGTCTGATCTAGGAGCCAGTTTGCAAGAATGCCGCCTTCTGTCAACGGCAACCGGCGCGGTCTGACGCCTTCTCCGTCAAAAAGCCGGGACGCCAGCCCGCCGGGACGGGTCGGATCATCAATAACGTCAATTCCTTCCCGGAAGATGCGTTTACCTTTGGAGCTGGCGAGGAAAGATGTGCCCTGAGCGACAGATGTCCCGTTGACCGCGGCCGCAAAATGGCCGAGTAGGCTCCCGGCAATGCGAGGGTCAAAAACGACATCCATGCGACCGCTGCGAGGTTTGCGTGGGTTGAGGCGTTTCAAGGCACGCTCAGCCGCCTCCGTCCCAGAAGCGCTGGCGGATCAAGGTCACTCAGGCGCCGCGTCACATGAGACGCGTAATCGCGCTGCATATTGTCACCTTGACCGGCAATGACGCTGATGCTGTTACCGAAAATTGTCTCGCTACTCTGCGCTGCAAATCCGTCACTATCTGCCAGCGCAAACTGCGCATGCCATGAGGAGGCCGATGCCCCGTTGCTTTTCGAGATTCCTTGTTGTGCCAGCGCGGAATTTTCCGCTTCCAAAGCCATTTTCTGAAGTGTTTCAAGGCTTGGCAGATTGCTTCCATCGTGCAAGGCTGCCTGGCCCGCATCGAGTTGCCCCTTAATTTCCCGCTTAGCCAGGCTGACATAGGGGTTTTCCGGCAAGGCGCGCGACATGGCAACCGCCTGCTCTGCGAGCGCGTCGAATGTATCTGAAGATGTTACGGTCGTTGAAACAGAGGCAACGCGTTGGCCCGTAAAGACGCGCAAGCCCAGTTTGACGGTAACTGCGTGCTCCGTATCCTCAACTTGTCCCTGGCGAACGGTTGTCGAGATAGATGCGGCACGTGTCGCCATGGCATCTGCTGCGTCCGCCCCGGCCCGCTGTGCCGATGAGAGGAGTGCTGCCAGAAGGTCCGCCTGCACCGTTGCCGTCCCGTTTTTACTCATGCCACGTGACGATAATTGATACGGTGAAGAGGTGGAAGGCTTTGTAAAGGCCCAATTGAAACACGAGT